CACTGTTATCCCTACATCTTCATGGGGTCCACCTGTGTCAGGAACTTCATGTTCTGAGCTCACAGATCATTCTCCAGTAGCATCATTTGAGCTCGGAAAAGCGGAGCATCCTGCCTGGTAATAATACTAGTAGTACTAATAATGCATAATAATAGTAATATAGTATGAGTTATCCCAAAAATGGCTCCTGGTCACATAGCTAACAGCTTAGTTTCGTTTCGGCGGCTCGAGGCATGAACTGAACCCTTTGTGTGGTAAGTGGCCTAATTAGGTACGATGATCGTGTTTGTCCTCATAGAGTTCAGCGCTATCTCTGGACACAGTCTTTGCAAGAATGGACCCACGTACTCGAAAATCATAATATACTTACCGCAAAACCTGTGCCACAACTACACTACGACCACAATTACCAATATCCCAATCACTTACTGGCCTGTTGGGTACCCTTGATACGCAGTCAGCAGGTGTCCGTGACGCCGCAGGGAGAAGGGTCAGAGGAACCCAGCGGCAGAAGCGTGACCTTCACACTGGTTGTGCCGACCTGTTTAGGGTTTAGGCTTTCAACGGTGATTGGGACTTATAGTGACCACAAGGAATAGTGGTAATTGTATTGGGACTTATAGTGACCACAAGGAATAGTGGTGACTGCATCAGAGTTCCTATATTCTCAGTGTACCTCTACTACCACCCAGTGAGGGCCTAATCCAAAGCGGATTCATGTTTGTAGTTGTAGGTTTAGGGGTCAGGGCCTGTAGGGTTTGGGGTCAAGGGCCTACAGCGCACTTCAGATTTAAGAGTTTAGGTTTTTATGTCAGCCATTGTCAAGGACAGCAGCAGCAGATCCAGCTCCGGCACGGAAAGCCGTTGAAGTTGAAACTGCAAGTGGTCTTCTGTCTTGGCTTCCAAATTCCAGATCGCCCGTGAATCCCACTGTTTGAGCCGGGTCAAACCATCCCGCTCAGGCGATCTTCAAGGCTGGTACGCTTCGGACGCCTGGGCTCGCGCGCGCTTCACGAACTCTGCGTCAGCGCTCAGTGCGCTGCAGGCTCTGACCAGTGCGAAAGCAGAGTGGAGCCGCAACGGCTAGATGCCTTGGACATTCTTGGACTAGTGTCCTTTGCCCTCGCGGTAACTTGAGATGTGTGGGTGAGTCATTCCTGGCTTTCCCACGCGTCATGCGCAGGGCAGCAGGATCGGCCTCCGTGCCGGCCTACAACTTCGAAGGTGTTTTTGACAACCATCACAGAGGCTTCGGCGATTCGAACTCTGGCCTCTGGGTTCACAGTGTTCAGGGAAGCATTGTTCTTGCAGACGCCTTTAGATTGCCCACATAAGAAAATCATAGCTACCTAGTCAGGGCATAACATACCCAGCGACGAGGGGCGGAACATGATGAAGTAGAGTGCTGGACGATGCTAAATCCTCTGTGGTGTCACTTTCTGTGGCAAGGGTCACGCAAACCAGTTTGGGGCTTCTAGGCGTGTGGTTTACATAACAGTATGATTTTATCATTTTTTATGGTTTCGCCACGGGTCCCCGCTAACGAGTCCTGAGTCCTTTGTACATCTTCTATGGCAGGCAAAACACATACATGCAGCAGCCCAAACACAGTTTAGATCTAGATAAGCCACTTTATGCTTCAGACCCATAAACTACACAACATTGTTTCAAATCATCTTAGAACAGTCTGAAGCAACTTACATAGACTTACTTTAAGTTGATCGATGATGGGGTTCCCCCCCAAAACTGGCCTTGATTTCAAAACCCGGAATTCGACTTGCAAGCGTTCTAAGGTTTGGGCCGCATAACGTATAATCTGTTAAATTGGCTTTAAAAGAAGTTAGGAGCAACAACTCAGGAAAAGTGATGATGACATGCTTCAATTTTTACCAGTAGCTTGCACAAAGGGTCCAGGTTTCTAAATATTCCGGGGTCCCATTGCGGGGTCTCATCACCTGCACGCAAATTAGGTCCCGTGTACAGTCCCGAACACTCAAACAAAAATACTTCCGAAGACCCAAAACCCAAAACCCAAAACCCTAAACCCGCCTGATGGCAAAAATTTCTTTTATTGGGTTAAGGCCTTTCGGGTGAGAGGCTTATTTGCTTATTTGGAAACTAGGGGTCCTTTCATTGGTGCGCATGGTATATTGAGGCATAAATAACCGGATCCCAATTTTCCTATTACTTTCAAGCCTTTCTATATATGCATATACATACTGCAAGCCCCAAAACCTTATGATGGATAAATAGGCACGCGTATTAAGTGGGCTTGACCTCACGGAGAGACTGTGCGAACTGCATGACTCGCAGCGCGCGCAGCTTGATGCAAACATGGCATGCGCTGAGGGCGCTTGCAGCGGGTGAGATATGGTACAAGTTTCTCAGAGGGGTCATACAGCGCAAATATAGGGATCTTTATTATAGGGGTTTGTATGTGGTTACAAGGATTTTACACTGATGTCCCCGTTTGGGGTGATCAATCAGTAAATTATGTCAAACAAGTTGACTGTAGCTCATATAACATGATTTAGTTCTTGGGGTGTTGGGTCTGCTTTGGTGCTTAGGGTTCCTGATTAAGGTTATAGAGGTTCACTTGGGGGACCTCTTGGTTTGAAGGCCCATGGTTTAGGGCTTGAGGGTTCAGGGGTTTAGGGTTTAGGGGTTTAGGGTTTAGGGTTTAGATTAATGCACAGCCTTCTCTGAAACCTCATCACATGCTAGGGTTTCGGGAGTTTCGGGTTTAGGAACGCACCTCATTTTCTAGGTTGTCCAACTTGTGATTTTGGGGGATCCCAGTAAACTCTGTCCCTAACAGGGTTCCCGCAATTGCATTTTAGTTCTAATTTGGGCACAGTCTTTCGAAACCATGTCCTCCTTTGAAGCTCCATGTTCCGGAGCATTGTAGTCCCAAAGGCCGCATTTCAAGCTCCCATAGCAGAAGCCTCGAGGGCCATCAGTATCATTCCCTTCTGATCTCTTCGTAGTCACGTCATCACGTCATGTTCTGGCCCAAAAATCCTGTCCCAGCTATCGGCCCGATTTACGATCCATATGCACTTCTCTACAATGTAATCACTTTTTGTCCATGTCGAATTCCATTTGATTATCCAATTTTCTTGCAAATACCCCTACATTTTACATGACCCTCAGGGGGTGTTTCTAAAAATGTGAGGATGTTTTCTTGGCAGTCCATATAACAAAGAGCATAGCACATCAGCCCCCTGTTAGTAGAACCTCCGTAATATGATCCCATATCATCCCGTTCAGAAGACCTTGAGCCTCAATACCTTAAACCCAAACCCGACCCTAAACCCTAAATCCTAAACCCAAAGCCCTGAACCTGCCAGTGCGCTTTGGTGCAATACCCCTACATCCAGATCGCCGACCTTCGGACTGAGCGCTCCTCCCAGCCCTTTTCTGGGTTGCTGTTAAGGAACTTATTTTAAGTTACCATAATGGGTATCTATAGTAAATAATAGGGTTTCCCCAATATAGTAACTTAATTTAAGTTCCTTAACAGCAACCCAGTTTTTTTGGGATCGGAGTTCAGGGATTTAGGGTTCAGGGCCCAAGGGATTCAGGGCTCAGAGTTCAGGCTTTTAGGTGTGTAGGGACTTTGCGTTCACGGATTTGAGGATTTCGGGTTCTCTGATGTTCTCTGGTTTAGGTTTCAGGTTGTTGGGGTAGGCGGCTTAGGAGGTGGGTTTCCGAGACATGAAAGTTGGGCGGTGAGTATGATAGGTATAGGCAGTTCTGGTCAGAGAACTCCAACTTTATCCGGAGGAACTTCCAGACCTTGTTTTCTATCGGGATTCATTCTTTAGCGTTGTGACGTTGAGTTCAGGGTTTTCTGAGCCAAGATGTTCAAAGCATCGCCCCCGGCCTCACTCCAAGTCCCCGAATCCCAAACCCCACGCCCTACGCTGGATGGAGGAGATCTGGCGCCACAACCCTAAGGCCTACACCCGAAGCACCAAACCCCACACCCTAGACCCTAAACCATCCTCAGTGGCTTTGGGTTCCGAGCCTGTGGGCCTTCATTTGGCCAATTTAGCTCCCTGGATTTTGTGGTCCACGGACCGGGCTTAGGGTTTATTTAGGGTTTGGAGTTTAGAGTTCAGGGGGCCAACTTCAAGATCCCAAATGGGCAGATGCAGTACTTGGGCGCTTTGCCCTGTAGGGTGTTAGCTGAATTCCTTGTTGGATCCTTCAAGGTTTGCATCCCAGTCTTACATTGATTACTCACCTCCCCCTACTAATAACCCTCCCTACCCCCTACTAGTTAATATTACCCCAATACAGTACTACCTTGGGGGGTGGTTGTTATTCGGGGGCCTTTGGGGGAGGGGATTGCGCGTGCCAGAGCTTTGAGGTAAAGCTTCAAGCCGCTAAGCCCAGACGCTCAACCCTAAACATCTGAGATCTAAGTGTCCAGCCCAAAACTATGCCTCCACTCTTATTGCATGTTAGCAATGAATTTTTGACAAAGGCTTCACTCACACCCTCCCCCCNNCCCCCCCCCCCCCACCACAAAAAAACACATACACAAAACAAAAAGTGGCTGTGTTGGAAGGCCTGGGTAGCAGCCCAAGCAGCAAAGCCTCAGGTCTTCTACACTGCAGCCGCAGTCGATGATGTGGACCCAGTTTCAGGTGGCCTTCCGCTGCCCTGCTTGGAGGTTCATGAGACCCAGTATCTAGTCCTGGTGCCCTACGTGTAGTCCTAACTGGCCAAATATAGATAGCTCAAAATATGCGAAGGCCTTGGGCCTCAAGTAGCTCCGTTCAAAAAGTTACTCCGACTCAGGATGGCATGAAGAGGTAAAAATAGGTCTCAACGTAGGAGGCCGCAGTGATATGAGCCATAGTCTAAA